ATTTCCGGGAATTGTTTGAATTCTGAATTACCTGCTTTTAATGTCCCATCTACTCCCCGAGTGTTGAGATCTCCAATGATACGTACATTATTGTATCTTCAAAAATATGTGCCAGAAAGGAGAAATAATAGAAAGGGAACTAGATGGATGACCCAGGTAGTGAAAAGAGCTTTAATATAACTAAGCGGAACCTCTGGAGAAGGTATATACCCACGATGAATATAATTGATTATGAGATATATGTAAAAAGGTAGTAAATGAAGCCACCCAGGAAATCAGAGAAAACTTGTAAAAAACATAAAGAAAGATCCTAAGTTGTTATATTCCTGTATGAGAAGTAAGATCAAAGCAAAGGACTCGGTAGGATCCTTAAGAGAACCAAGTATCATCCATTATAACTACCAAGTTATAATGGATGATAAAAAGGAACAGCACTCAGGATGAATGCTTTACATCAGTGTTCACACTAGAAAGATGAGACTATATCCCATCACCCACACTAAGGCTTGATGGAGGTGAAGAGAACGAATTAAGAGCATATCGTGCGACATAATCAGGAAGAACATTGACAAACTAGAAGATTCCAAAGCCCCAGGTGTGGGTGGAATTTAATCTAAAGTCGTAACTTAACTGGCAGAGAAATTATGCTTGCCACTGAAACTCCTTTTCGGAAAATCTCCGGACCAAGGTATAGTTCCTATAGATTGGAAATATGCAAATATTACCCCTAGTTTCAAAGAAAGCAGAAAGAGCACAGTAGAAAACTACCGTCCGATCAGCTTGACAGCACACATCTGCAAGCTGATGGAGAGAATCCTCAGGGAGGGAATCCTTCACCATCTCACAGTGAACAAGCATGTAACACCAACGCAACATGGGTTTGTTAAAAATAGATCCTGACTTACAAACCTTCTCACATTTCTAGAAACTTTATCCAGCTACTCAAACAATTAAAGGACTTCCGGTAGATGTAGTATACATGGACTATGCTTCCGCTTTTGATAAGGTACCGCATGAAAGACTAGCAAGGAAATTAGAAGCACATGGAATAAATGGTAGAATACTAGAATGGGTAAAGAATTGACAGTCTCCGTGGTGTAGTGGTAAGACACTCGCCTGGCGTTCCGCGAGCGCTATGTCATGGGTTCGTATCCTGGCCGGGGAGGATTTACTGGGCGCAATTCCTTAACTGTAGCCTCTGTTTAACGCAACAGTAAAATGTGTACTTGGATGAAAAAACGATTCTTCGCGGCAGGGGATCGTATTCCAGGGACTTGCCGGAAACGCTACGCGTACTAGAGGCTGTACAAGAATGTAACAACTCTTGTATATATCTCAAAAAAAAAAAAAAAGAAGTGGTTATAAAAAAGGAAACAAAGGGTCGTGCTAAACGGGAATAAATCTGACTGGAGAAATGTGGTGAGAGGAGTGCCACAAGGGTCTATCTTGAGGCCAACCCTTTTTGTCGTATACATCAGTGACATGAAAGATTATCACGGATCACATCATCAAATTTTCAGATGACACTAAGATTTATAGTAAAGTGGGGAAGTGAAAAACGATATTGAGGCCTTACGAAGAGATCTACATGTCCTCCATTAAATAGTCAGAAGACTGGCAAATGCGTTTTAATGTCGACAAATGCAAGACCTTGCATGTGGGGCATAGCAACCCGCGTCACAACTATCAAATTAACAATATTACCTTGCAGACAACTAAATATTTTAGTTTCCCCTAACGTTTTCGTCGTCTTTTCAATTTTAACAGAAAACAAGTTTTTACGAAGAATATATGGGAAACTTTATTAAAAGTAAATAATTCATTATGTCGGGGACAGGCAACCGGAGTATATATATACGTTAAAGCTCATGTCGACTACTCACCCTCCCCGGAGTGCAACTCTGTAACAATTTACTGCTAGGTGAACAGAGGCATTAAGTGAAAGGAAATGTGCCCAACCATTAAATTGCTGTTCCGCCCAGGTTTCAAACCTGGGATTCCTGATTGTGATTCGAGAATGAACCCAGCTGTACTACCAAGATCCCAATCCCAACCTCATCCCCACATCCTTCTTCTTCCCCCATCTTTCCTTCCACCTTCCCCCACCCCTTCACACTCCCCTCTTCCTCTCCCTTTTTCCAGCAAAAATAGTCTGCGTAGCCAGCACGAACCAAATGGGTACGAAAATAATATAATGGATTTTGGCTTACGGATCATCTAAAATATTAGTATCTGTCAAAAAAATGATTATCAGTAAACCTTTTTCCCCTTTGCTGACCAAACTCATCACTCAGCGGTCACCACCAACTACAAGTGTACAGATCCCTGAGGCAGACTTTGATGTCCAGTACCGTGTGAAGTTACTACTGTGTTAGCTGGAGTGGGATCCACTTTAAGTGGATCAGCTAATCCCTTGTCCATGAGCGAGAAACTCTTATATTATTATATATAAAGTTTACACTAAGCATGAAATTACTCTGCTCCTGAGCCAGGTAAGTCCACTTCGGGCTCACCATAGCCAGTGCTACTTGCCCCGCTCATGTGCCAGGTAAGCTACGGGCTCACCATAGCCCGTGCTACTTGGAACTTGTTCCGAGTAGCTAAATCTATAACAACAACAACAGCAGCATGAAATTATGAGAGCTTGGGGGATGTATTGAAAGACCGTGGCACATTACAGTATTTATTTTTTTTATTTTTAAGCAAAGCATGGGGCTAAAACATGTGAGGAACGAGAGGCGCAGAGACCCGGTATGACATCAGCTGAGGCTATGACGGTAGCTTACGTCATACATGACGCTGCCATCAGCTGGGGCAACGCCAGAAGCTTACGTCATTTAACCGTAGCATCAGCTGGGGCCACGACTGTGGGTTACGTCATATGACGCTGCTATTAAAATTTGATTATGACAAATACCGGTAATTCTTGGCAGTATCACATGCACTGAGCCAGACGGTCCCTAGCCCGCCCTCGGCTGCCACAGCAGTGGTGCTCAACATAGTTTGCTTCACCCGGACGCTGAAAGGAACTCACAGGGAGCGGACAACCAAGGGAGTCTTGACCACACTGACAGTAATATGATCGTCGGTGTTTAAGACTTCGACATACAAACGCTACTTATATTGGTCATCTTAAAAAAAGTAACTTTTTTTTTTATATAGAAGCTCAATTGACTTCGAGTCAGTGAATGTGTTAGAAGGTTATCAAGCTAGACTCTTCATGTATTCTGATTCTTAAGATTTATATTGATTTTGAATGGATCTCTTATTAAGAAATTGAGGGGAAAAAGATTATATTCTTATCTGGCTTATGTAGTTGTTAATGCTTCATTGAGAGTATCATAAGTCACATGTCATGGCGGATGCTTTGTCATACAGTTGTACAGTTTGTTATGTATCCAGTGGAGTACAATGCTGTCCAGACAATTTTATATCGGTACCTAAAGTCTAAAAGAAAGCGGCGTTAATAGCTACGTTAGTTTAGAACATGGGTGGCGGCGAATCTATGGCACACGTGCCCAAGGTGGCATGCAAGCAAATTTTGTTGGTACGCAGCGCGCAGTACCGGTATCTCACCTTGATTTTCTAAGGTCCTACTCAGAATAAATAAACATATTTTTACTTATTGTGATCTGTTATTCATTATGGTCTGTTTTAAACGGACTTATGAATGCTTTCAAGCATTTTGTTCTCTTTCTCTGTGAAAATGGTAAAATACAAATATATTAATAATACATAATAATCAGCGGCTCAAAATTTCCATAGGTACGCGAGAACATTTTTTTGAATCATTGCCAATATGGGTACACGGTCTCAAGAAGGTTCGCCACCCCTGCTCTAATATATTTCAGGACAAATCGTAAAATGGAAATGTGTAAAAGATACTATGGATTCAGAGAGTCAAGATTCGGGTCCTTGGGAGTCGGGGGTTCAGGAGTCACTGTCTTCCTCCGAGCCGGAGGACAGGTCACTCTCCTGCAGGCTGTGTGGCTGGCTGTTGAAGGCTCCGGTGTCATCCGAGTTCTGAGAGGCGAGGTGTCTGGAGGAGAGGGCGCGGCCCCTCAAGGGCTGGTTCTGGACCAAGGGCTGGCGGTAGGGCGGAGGCACCGGGATGCGCTGGGGACGCTGCACCAGACTGGGCCTGTCCCCCACACGGAGAGTCTTCTTTACTATTTATAATTTAATTCCTAAACACACACACACACACAGACACACACACACACACACACACACACACACACACACACACACACACACACACACACACACACACACACACACACACACACATACACACACACATAACAGAACGGTTTACGTTCGTTTTAACGTTTTAACAGAACGAGGGGACATGGGTGGAAACTGGAAACTCAGATGAGTCACAGAGATGTTAGGAAGTTTTCTTTTAGCGTGAGAGTAGTAGAAAAATGGAATGCACTTGGGGAACAGGTTGTGGAAGCAAATACTATTCATACTTTTAAAACTAGGTATGATAGGGAAATGGGACAGGAGTCATTGCTGTAAACAACCGATAGCTAGAAAGGCGGGATCCAAGAGTCAATGCTCGATCCTGCAAGCACATATAGGTGAGTACATATAGGTGAGTACATACACACACACATACACACACACATACACACACACATACACACACACATACACACACACATACACACACACATATATATATATATATATATATATATATATATATATATATATATATATATATATATATATATATATATATATATATATATATAAACTAGGAACGGAAAATTAAACAAGAGATTACTTGAGGAGCGACTTCGTGTTAATTAACACATCTTCAAGAACTAATTTCTCGTTTCATTTTCCCTTTGTGGTCATACATTTTCACATCGTTCATAAGATATTAACTTCTTCGTGATTTACACGCATTACATTATTACGCAGTAATTATTTAGTATATTTCATTTTAATGTTGTTTAATCTTTATTCGTTCAGATAACCTCACCTGGAAGACATATGTTCATGTTAGCTCAATAACACATTCATCTGGATGAGGGAGGCGTGGGTTGTGGATGGCCTTAGGGAAAGAGGGCTTGTTGGCGGGAAAGTTAATGTGGAGGGGAAAGGAGGGACGTACCTGCCGGGGCGCACAGGGAAGGCGCGGTAACCCTTCTCGTCCGCGATGTACTCCATAACGACCAGCTCCCCGTTGGGCGCCGTGTACCTTGAGGGGGAAGCGCAGAAACAACACCGTCAGTGGGTACATATTCCCGGAGACGCTGGAGGAGAAGACCGACTGTCCTCCATACACCGTGTATACATAATTTCATACCCAATTATACAACCTTCCCGTCTCCCGCCATGACACCAGCAGCGTCCCCCATACACACCGTGAACCGGAGCGACACTCACGAGTAGGATCCTGTGACTTCGTGGGTGTTGGGGCTGGTGAGTCTGGCGCCCTCCTCCCGCAGGATGCCGTCCCCTGTGGCGTATCTGGCCGCGGCAAGAAGATGACGGGAAGGGAAGGGTTGTGGAATGGTACGGGGGGTAGATGTAACGGAGGGGGGTGGGATGGAGAAGGGGAAGGTATGGAGAGGATAAAATATAATTAATGACAGCTATTGTTAAAGCAATAATTATAATGACAATAATAATACTGATATTGGCAATTATAATAAAAATAAGAAATAATAAGTCAATATTACTATTATTATTAAAATGTTAATTATCGTGATAACAAAGGTTATAACATACAAAATTGTTAACTATCAATTATAATGATATTATTGTAGTCCTGAAGTAACCTGCTACAGTAACTATACTAGATATATATTGTATTCAGACATAGACTTACGATTTTCAGCAAATCTATTTTTTTATTTGCAAGATACTCGCAGGGATTTACACTAAGAACTATGCACATCACTCTGGGTTTTACTAGATCTGTCTAATGCATTTATTAACAACTTACTAATTAAAAATATTAAAACTGATTTAGAAAACCTAAGAAATGGCCAAAGACCTCAAAGTTGCAGTATTAAAAGCTATGTGGTAGTAGTAGTAGTAATAGTAGGCATTTAGTAGTTCATAAGAGTATGAAGAAGAGAGAAACACGTGTGTGAGGAAGTAAGAGCCGTCCTGGAAGGCAAGTGCATGAACAACAAGAGAGAAACACCTACGTGAAGTAGTAAGAGCCGTCCTGGAAGGGACCATCGCGATCATCGTCAAAGATGGGTACAGAGGGTCGCTCCGCCTTCCGGTTGAGTGCTTGCGCCTCCGCCTGCTGGAGCTGTGCCCGCGCCTGTACGAGTTGTGCCTCAGTTTGCAGCAGTTGCGCCCGATCCAGCTGCGTCTGGGTCCGCAGCAGCTGAGCCCGCTGGAGTTGCGCTTGCCGCAGACGAAGGGCTTCTTGCTCGCGACGTAACTGTCTGAGGCGTGCGAGTTCCAGCTGTCGTCTTCGCTCCTGTTGTCGACGAGACTCTTCTTGTAGCCTGAGAGCTTCCTGTCGTCGACGGAGAGTCAGCAGCTGCTGCTGGAGTATTTGTTGCTGTTGTTGCAACGTTTGCCGCTGAGGGCGGATGGCTGGCTGTTGTTGGTTTCCAAGGGATGTTTGTCCTATCAAGAGAGTATCTTGTTGCACAGCTAATGGTCTTTGTTGCTGGACAATGAGTGACTCTCCTTGCACGGCAAGGGGTTCTTGTAGCGATAGAGATTCTTGCTGAAGTAACAGTGGTTGTTGCAATGAGAGAGACTCCTGTTCGAAGAGAAGCGGATCTTGCAGTAAAAGTGGGTCTTGGGGAGCCAGGAACAGCTGCTGTGCCAGTGGTGGTTGCTGCTGTATCAGCAAAGGTTGCTGCACCAATCGTTGTTGTGGTAGTAGAGACTGTTGTGGTAGTAGAGACTGCTGTGGTAGTAGAGACTGCTGTGGTAGTAGAGACTGCTGTGGTAGTAGAGACTGCTGTGGTAGTAGAGACTGCTGTGGTAGTAGAGACTGCTGTGGTAGTAGAGACTGCTGCCCACAGACGGCTGCCACTAAACACACACACAGAACCTGGGAAAAAATGTGGTGTGTTAACAGGAAAAGTCAATTCTGACGTCCTGATTGGCTATATAGGGAAAGGGGGCGGGGGGGAGAGAAGGCACGTTAACCCGCCTCTGGGCCGGCCTTGGCGGCGTATATTCTACATTCCTGCTCAGGCGTAGAGGCCGCCATCACAATACTCTCCTCACTCACACGATTGTCTAATTGTGCCTCCAGGGGCCGGTGGCCGGGCCGTGGGGCCGAGCCGTGGGGCCGAGCCGTGGGGCCGAGCCATGGGGCCGAGCCGTGGGGCCGAGCCGTGGGGCCGAGCCGTGGGCCGGGATTTGGGAGCCGTTATTACACATTTTAGAAAAAGATTTATACAGGTGCCTCTCACCTGTTGTAACGTTGCATGATGTACGTACTCGACTAATTCGTGAAAAATGCGACATATTACTCAAAAGTTAAAGCGCCGTAATAATGACGTTGTACATCGGCTTCCATGGGTTAGGTGGGTTGCTTGGGTTCGCACGTTTCTGGCTTAGACAAAACGGTGTCAAATCAAGAGGATTTGATTATTTTGTTGGCTTAGCTAAATTAGTTTAGTCCGGTTATTTAGTTGCCTTGTTTAGCTTTGAAGACTTCTGGGTAGAGTAAACCGCTTCAGAAGTGAAACTGGTTACACCGTGAGACGGTGCTTGTGGGGTGATGACGTATCTCTTAACGAAACCTGTACATCTTTCTGCAAACATGGCGGCTTTGTTTACATTTATTAAACAGTTTAGGGGCCTTGGAATCTTCACAGGCCAAGGTTATTATCGTTATAAACAATCTCTTTGTGCTTATAACCTGTTTAATATATGTAAACACAGCTGCCATGATTGAGGAAAGATGTACAGGTTTTCTTAAGTGTTTGGGTCCATGTCTCGTGAGTCGTGGCAAAGCGTGGTCTTGGGTCTCGTCTCAGCCACGTGGGATGTGACAACTTGATTTTTACTGTAAACAAAAGCTAAGAACTAACATTGTCATCCTCTTCTCAGACTCCTCAAACAATAATTCCAGCATGGTCCTTAAAACAGAAGTAAAATGACCGACAATGCCTCATACTGTAGGTTACAAAATAGCCTACAGTCTGCTATTGACGGGGCCTGACGGCTGAGTGGATAACGCTCGGAATTCGTAGTTCTAAGGTTCCGGTTTCAATCCCCGGCAGAGGCGGAAACAAATGGGCAGAGTTTCACCGTGATGGCCCTGTTTACCTAGAAGGAAATAGGTACCTGGGAGTTAGACAGCTGCTACGGGCTGCTTCCTGGGGGTGTGTAACAAAATGGAGGCCTGGTCGAGGACCGGGTCGCGGGGACCCTAAGCCCCGAAATCATCTCAAGAAGATGCTGTATTGTAGGCGTACTGTAGGCTAATGACTCAGCTATACTGTTAACAGAGCTTGACACTGAACCACAGCAACAGACTGTAAACAGCCAGCCCGTCCTCCTAAGGTTCCCCAACGTCAAGAAACTGTCGTACTAAAGTGACCTTATCCTAACCTACCAGAGGACCCAAAACAGAAAACGGAACAGTATGTCAATTTCGCGAGCCACTACCATTTTCTAGTACGACAATTTTTTGGGCCTTAGGTGGAGTATACGTCAAAATGCGACGCTCTATTAAGAGGCTGAGTTGTCGAGGTAAAGTGGAGGACTTGTCTGATGCGGACCGTTGGTCGTGGGCCGGTTTGGTGTTGATCTTAAGGCCTATCAGCCTCAAGAGAGCTATTGAAGTCACCACAATAACTTGCTGCCCAACTAGTAAGTATTCCTGAAAGTAAACTCCCAGTGTATATGAGGCATGAAGCGCGGTACACCCCACGGAGTATTCACCCGTGACTGCCATGGGTTGTGGGAGCCGGAGCATGGGAGGAGAAAGACCACTCCATGGGAGGAAAGGCCTCCATGGGAGGAGGAGACCACTTATTACCACTCCCAGGTGCTGTTTAGAGCCGTAATATCATCCACTGTGCATGCCCCCCCCCCCCACCGAACACTGGGTGTCACGGGGGCAAGCGATTTTAACACAACAATTTTCACTGCAATTTCGTAACCAATCGAAGCAAAGCTTTGTGCTTAGGCTCTACATTTGGCAGCTGGCAGAGATAAAACCACGTTATTGTGTAGTTTATACATCCTGCAGATCTGTAGCTGCAGTACGAAGGGAGTCGTTACCTCAGAGCTAACGAGGCAGTACTTACTATCAAATGCCAATGCAGACGTTATTGTTTATTTTGTCCAATTGGACAATTTCCAACAGCAACAGGCATTGAGGCGCGAGACATAGGATGGGGGGGGGGGGAGATGATAGTGTCCTCACGGTGAATCATGAGTCTGGCGAGACTCACAGCCTCCGCAATGAGGTCTAATAACTCACAATTATGTACTTCATAAAAAATATGAGTTAGACGTGAGGAAGGTTAGTGTGGGAAGGGATCCTACTGCGAGGGATGTATATAATTGGCACTATACTGGAAGGAGGTCACTGCAAGCTTAGAATTGGCACTGTACTGTGAAGGTCACTGTACTCTTATAATTGGCACTATAATAAAAGGGACACTATAAACCAATAATTGGCACTATAATGTGAAGGGGGCACTGTAAACCTATAACTCCATTCTATGTTTAAAAACAAATCTCTAAAATATCAGTTTACAGGCATTAAGACACTTCGGTTTGGCCTTTTGAAACGTTTAAATATCTTTAACACATAAAATGTTAAAAATTACCGGGTAACATATAAGAGACGTGGGATTCTTGAAGCGTTTCAAGCGTAGGTTAGACGTACATATGAACGTCGTCAGTGTGACGTATTCTATATACGTATAAACTAGGAGCGTATGTTTTGGGCAGACGAGAGAAGGGTCGTGAGGCTGTTGCTATAAGCCTGTATAATCTACACGTATTACTCTGCCTAAACATTGACTATGCTTAAGATAATTGAGGGGCTTTGATCACTATGTCTCGATCTTGGTAACTTTCATGTCGTTGACAAGGCCTTAGGCCCAACACCAAACTAAATCAACATTTAGCATTCCATTTGTAATGGGTTTTAATTAATTTATCTTTATTGATAGGCAGAAAATTGTTTTTTTCTGCTTATCGAATGTTATGTAGCAACCCGTTCTCGCAAATTCGTAAAGTCAATATTGACTTATTAACTACGTGCATAGGTGATATACTAAACATAATAGATACCCTTAAAAAGATTCATAGAAAACACCGACCTTACCTAACCTTGTTAGTATCTTAAGATAAGCATCTTATTGCTTCGTAATTACAATTATTACTTAACCTATACCTATTATAGGTTAGGTAATAATTGTAATTACGCAGCAATAAGATGCTTATCTTAACATACTAAGTAGGTTAGGTAAGGTCGGTGTTTTCTATGAATCTTTTTAAGGGTATCTATTATGTTAAGTATATCACCTATGCACATATTAAATAAGTCAATATTGACTTATTAAAATTGCGAGAACGGGTTGTATGTAGGGACCGGAGGGCCCGTCCGGGCAATAGTTCTGGTAGATGGTTTGTTCATATATAACAAAAAGGTGATATGATCATGAACGGCAACATTGTAGATTTGCCGTCGGTACTAAATATGACGGGAAATATATCCAGAAAGCAATCTAGATTCTCTACGAGAGAATCTAGATTGTCACCGAGACCATCTAGATTATTTACGGGACAATTTAGATTGTCTGAGACAATCTACAATCTAGATTGCCTGCTAGACAATCTGGATAGGCTTTTACAATTTATAAATGATTGGAAAATATATTTTAATGTTGACAAATATAGGGTTGTGAGCTTAGTTAATGGTAATGGATTACCATATTTTAGCTGGACAATGTTGAAACTGAGTAATCTGAATGTGAATCCGAGTCATGATTAGTAGGGAACTTATGCAAAAAATCAATGCATAAATGTACGTAATAAGACAAAGAGGACACTAGGATTTATCTCTGGAAGCGTTAGCAACGACGGGCTCACCATAGCCCGTGCTACTTGGAACTTTTGTTCCGGGTACCTGAATCTTAAACAACAGTAACAAGGTATTTAATACTTCAGCTTTAACTTGCCCTTGTTAGGCCCTCCTTAGATTGTGCGGGTTAGTTTTGGTCTCCGTACTATATAGTGAACATGAATCCACTTAAACACGTACAGGAAAGAGCAGCGAAGCTAATCCTAGGAATTAGAAACCTTCTTTATGGATACAGATTATAAAATTTAATTTACATTTTCTAGAATGACGAAGTTAGGGCTTAAGTGACGGAAGTTTGGATCAAACGGGGAATAACAGGGAATAAAATAAGGTTTTTTAAATATACCAACACCAAATAGAACTCGATATAATGGATAAATTTAGATTCTGGAAAGACCTGGGTAAATACTGGTTTGAAAACAGGGTTGTTGATTTATGGAACAAATTATCAGGTAACATGACCGACGTGGTCATGTTTTAAGCGTGTTTCACATATTTATAAATGAGTTTGGGAGGCAATAAATAGGAGCTGCCTCTTGTATATAGAGACCTCCTTCAGTGTCCTTTGTTCTTAAGGTCTTATTCGCTAAAGGAACCATCTATACGCAAACCAGCTCGGGAAATGCGACGACAATGAAAGAAAATAAAAAACTGACATTGCAATCAGCTCGCAGAGATGAGCGGAGGAGAGTGAAGGAGACGACCTCCTCAGACAATGTATCAAGACTTACCAACGGCAGCATGGCGGCGGGCTGGGGGCGGCGGGCGTCGGGGGGCGCTCTACACGGCTCGTCTCAGCACACTAGTCACTGCCACAGGCTACACCCGACGCAGCTGCAGGAGATGAGAGGCAGGAGGGCCCGGGCGGGAGCTTGGTTTCGGCCTCGGTGACTGAGGGCAGAGTAACGACGCCTTGCCCACACTCTCCTAATATACCCTACACGACTACACCATCGCCAAGGCCGGCCTCCTTCCCCAAACCTTCGGCTCCATCTTGAGCTGTACCGGATATGTTATTAACAGATAAT